AAAAACAAAAAAAAAAAACGGATTCTGTAGGGCCAAGGTGGGGCCTGAGAGTCAGCAGTTCCAACAAACTCCCAAACGTGTCCAGGGCTGCTTGTCCAAGGACCACACTTTGCACATCAAGGGCCTAGAGATCATTAAATCTGACGACTGTGCTTTGCTGGGGGAGACAGGGAGCAATGTAACTTCACAGTAAGAGTGTGGGCACTGGAGTCATAGCATCTGGGTTTGAATCCCGCCTGTGTTCTGTGTGTGTGTGTGTGTGTGTGTACCTGTTGCTTAGTTTCAGTTCCTTCCTGTGAATTGAGTGTATGATGATAACAATGTGAGGGTGATAATAGTGTTGTGATGATGATGGATATGGCGGCGATGAGGCTGTCGACGGTGGTGCCGATGGTGGTGGTGGTGATGACGGGATAGTGACGATGGTGGTGATGGTGGTGGTGTTAGTGATGATGGTGGTGATGGGTCTTCACAGGGTGGATGTGAGACTTGAACAAGTTAATGCAAATAAGCTGGGCTTGGTGGCTCAGCCTGTCATCCAGCACCTTTGGGAGGCTGAGGTGAGTGGATTGCCTGAGCCCGCGGGTTCGAGACCCGCCTGGGCAGCGAGACCTCATCTCTACAATAAATCAAAAAATCAGCCGGGCGTGGGAGCGCGCGCCTGTAGTTCCGGCTACTCGAAGGCTGAGGCGGAAGGATCACCGGAGCCCAGCAGGCGAGGTTGCAGTGGCCGAGAGCGGCCACTGCACTCCAGTCTGGGCAACCGAGTGAGACTCCAACTCAAAAAAAGAAAAAAGAAAAAAGTTAATGCAAATAGTCTTGACAGGGGGCTCATCACAGAGCACATGCCTAAAGATGATGGCATCTATCGTGATGACAATTGCTGTCACCCACAGATGAAAGGACACGTCCATGGTCACAGAGCAGCAGGACCAGGGGCCTAAACTCCCATCAACATTCTCTAGTTCACCGCATAGCCAGACAAATGAGAGTATCAGAGAAATCGAATAAATGTTAGAATACCCATGACCCTGAATCAATGCTGAACCCAATGTGACGTTCCTCTGTGGGTAGGAGAGGTACGTCTGACCCCTACAGGCCTCAGGGCATCATTGCAAACACAGTCTTCCGTTGTCTGGGGGGGCTGATGGACAAAAGGGGGTTGTCCCATGAATCTGCATGGTATGGACATGTGCACTTTAAAAGGTACAAATAGGTACAAATAGGCTCCAGGTGGGAACTTGTTTCAAGTCACCTGACTCATTAAAGTGGCTCATCTGTGGAACTCTGTAGCTCACTTGAGGGGTCCGAGCAGAGGACACACCCTATGCGCAGGCCAGAGGAGAGAGGCAGTGTGCAGCACCCTGGTGACACCTCACTCCTGCTGCTGCCCTCCCCACCTCAATCCATCCTTGATAGGGCAGCCACAAGAGATCTTAAAATGGAATTGAGGTTATATCAGTCCTTTCTCAGAACCTTCCATGGCTCCCCATTACCCCTGGAATAAAATTCAAACACTTCCACAGACCATGTGGTCCTAAGTCGAGCTGGTCTTTTCTCTACCTCAGGGCCTCTGCACATGCTGTTCCCTCTGTCTGAAACACCATTCCCCCCTTCATTTGGTTGACTGCACTTCATCCGCAGGACTCAGCTTAAGAGACAGCTTTGGCCGGGCTCGGTGGCTCAGCCTGTAATCCCAGCGCTTTGGGAGGCCGAGGTGAGTGGATTGCCTGAGCCCGCGGGTTCAAGACCCGCCTGGGCAACTCGGCGAGACCTCATCTCTACAATAAATCAAAAAAATTAGCCAGGCGTGGTAGCGCACGCCTGTAGTTCCAGCTCCTTGGAAGGCTGAGGCGGAAGGATCGCCGGAGTCCAGCCAGTCGAGGCTGCGGTGGCCGGGAGTGGCCGCTGCACTCCTGTCTGGGTGAGTGTGAGACTTCAACTCAAAAAAAAAGAAAAAGAAAAAGTCAGCTTCTCCAGAAGGCCCTCCCTGACCACCCCTACAAATCCTCTACTCTGGCCCTGTGTCTCTTTCCTTCCTGGATCGCATCACTCTTGGAAATTACATTATCTCATTCGCAAGATTTCTGTATTTTCTCCCACTCAAGTGGAGATAGGTGGGGATAAGCTTGTCTCCTGCTCCAGAGAAGGCAAACCCAGGTGGGGCAGGGGCTGTGTCTGTCCTGTCGACCACTCTTTCCTCAAGGTCCTCCCATGCACCAGTGCCTGGCACCCAGTCGTTGCTTTTCAATATTTGCCCAGGGAGAGGCTAGGTCTGGCACCTGGCGTGGCTGAGATGGGCACGAATGGAAGCTATGCCCTGGAGTTCTGTTTCCCTCCTCCCCGACAGCAACGACGAGCTCTGTGCCTCTGGGAAAAGCATAAGTGATATCTGGCTTACTCACCCTGACACCCTGCCCAGTGCTCAGTATCCACAGATGCTGAGAAATGTACAAGTACGTGTTGATACCAAGTCTACTGGAGTTTCCTGTAATCACACAGGGACAGCAATATGAAGGGAGGTCGTTTGGCCACAGGAAGTAGAATCTTATTGGATGTGACATATTCCCCCGAACAGAGCCTTGCCCAGATTTCCCTGGTAGAGTTGACAGACTGCTTAAATGAAATATACTCTAAGCTGGGCACAGTGGCACAAGGCTGTAGTCCTAGCTATTCAGGAGGCTGAGGCAGGAGGATTGCTTCAGCCCACAGGTTTGAGGCTGCAGGGTGCTTCAATTGTGCCTGTGAATAGCCACTGCACTGCAGCCAGGGCAATATAGTGATACCATATCTATAAAAAAAAAAAAGAATATATATACACACACACACACACTATCCCCCCCAAATATACATGGACTACCCCCAAAAACCCGGAATGTATTTATTAAAAATTGTGTCTTTATTCCTACATGTTTAAACTTCAGTCACGGTCGGGCGCGGTGGCTCAAACCTGTAATCCCAGCACTTTGGAAGGACAAGGTGAGAAGATTGCCTGAGCCCAGGGGTTCGGGACCAGCCTGGGCAACTTGGTGAGACCTTGTCTCTACAATAAGTCAAAAAATTAGCTGGGTGTGGTGGCACACGTCTGTAGTTCCGGTCACTTGGAAGACTGAGGCAGAAAGATCGCCTGAGTCCAGCAGGTCGAGGCTGCGGTGGCCGTGAGCGTGCCGCTGCACTCCAGCCTGGGCGACAGACTGAGACTCCAACTCAAAAAAACCCCCAAACTTCAACCACCTTTAAAGTACTCTCCTTCTGATGCATTTATGCCTGTTGAGATGCTTTTTCCACTGCTCAAAACAGTTTTTGAACTCATCAGTTCTGATGCCCTTTAGAGAGTCTGCCTTTTTTTGTTTCACTTCTTCCGCATTGGCAAAACGTTTCCTTTTGAGGACTTTTGCCATCCAGGGAAACAAAAAAAGTCACTCAGGGTGAGATCAGGTGAATATGGACCGTGGGGCATGGGGGTCATGCCCTTTTTGGTCAAAAACTGCTAAACACTAGCCTGGTGTGGGCAGGTGCATTGTAATGCTGGAAGAACCAGTCACCTGTTTGCCACAACTCAGGACTTTACCTCTTCAGTGCAGCCTCTCACAACACTAGCTGGTACAGTGATGCCAATGGGTTCCTACAGCACTGACCTAGTGGAAGAAGTCTGTACTACAAGGCACCCACCCTCCAAAAGATAATTCTAGTTTTTTGGGGGGCCCCTCTCAAATTTACACGCACACACTCTAAACATGAATTATCTCATAACTGGAGACTTGGGAAGAGGGGGAAATCTTATCTCCTACTCCAATTTATCTCTTAATACAGACATTCAAGCTGCCAGGAAGAAAACAGGCGCCTGGGCTTTGGAGTTGGACGGTTGAGGCTCAGATCCTGGATGAGCTACATGCCCCAGGGCAGTCATTTAACCTCTCCAAGACCCCATTTCCTCTTCTGTAAAATGGGCACATGAGCCATAAAGAATTAGCCTGGGCTCAAAGAAAGGTTTGACCATTTGCCCCCAGCTCCTGGGGAATAAATAATTCTAAGCCCCTGGAAAGCTTTTCCTATGAAACATGTCTTTGTTTAACTGGGACTCGGGACCACGCCAGATAGCCTGTGCTAACAGAGTGTTTGGTACTGGGGTCCTTGGACCATGTGGTATAAGCTCAACCTCTGGAGGGATTCAAGATCAAGTTCAGCCTCGCCTGTGGTTAGCCGTAGCCACACAACTGACTCTCAGTAAAAACTCTGGATACTGGCCAGGCTCGATGGCTCAGCCTGTAATCCCGCACTTTGGGAGGCCAAGGTGAGTGGATTGCCTAAGCCCACGGGTTCAAGACCCGTCTGGGCAGCTTGGCGAGACCTCATCTCTACAATAAATCAAAAAATTAGCCGGGCGTGGTAGTGCGCACCTGTAGTTCCAGCTACTTGGAAGGCTGAGGCGGAAGGATCGCCAGAGCCCAGCAGGTCGAGGCTGCGGTGACCAGGAGCGTGCCACTGCACTCCAGTCTGGGCGACAGAGTGAGACTCCAACTTGGAAAAAAAGAAAAAAAGAAACTCTCGATACTGAGGCTCAGTGATCTTCCCTGGTAGCAGTACTCTGCATTTTGGTCACACATCACTGCTGGGAGAAATCAGCGTGGTCTGCACGACTCCTTGGGGAAGGACATCTAGAAGTTTGCTCCTGGACTCGCCCTGTATACTTCTTGGCTAACTTGGTCCCGTAGCATCCCCAACACCTTGGCTGATTTCAGACAACATCCTTTTACTGTAAGGAACCATCACCATGAGTGTAACAGCTTTTCTGAAGTTCTGTGGGTCCCTCTGGTGAATTACCAAGCCTGAGCATGGTCTTGGGGACCCCTGGACTTGAACATGGTATCAAAATTGAGGATGATCCCGGACCCCTTAATTTGCAACTGGCATCAACAGTGAGGGTGCTGTTGGAGACTCCTGAACCCCACAGCCCCCCAACAACCCCCCTCTCGAGGTATCAAGAAGATGAAGTGAGATGATGTTTATAAAACCCTCAAGCCGGGCTCAGTGGCTCAGCCTGTAATCCCACACCTTTGGGAGGCTGAGGTAAGTAAATTGCCTGATTCTGCGGGTTCGTGACCCGCCTGGGCAACTTGGTGAAACCTCATCTCTACAATAAATCAAAATGAGCCGGGCATGGTAGCGCGCACCTGGAGTTCCAACTACTTGGAAGGCTGAGGCAGAAGGATCGCCAGAGCCCAGCAGGTTGAGGCTGCGGTGCCGGGAGCAGCCAATGCACTCCAGTCTGGGTGACAGAATGAGACTCCAACTCAAAAAAAAAAAACCCTCAGCCCAGGGCCCAGTCCAGAAGAAGTGTTCAACAAAGATGCGTCACTCCCATGGTGACTCCTGTTTGCTGTGGGACTAAGTTCAGAGGAGGTTGAAATCCTGGCTCCCGCACTCACCGCCATGGGTCCTTTGTAAGTATGAGTTAATTAATAGACACGAATCCCCTAAGACAGGCCCAGTACACAACATACGCTCCATGTACTGGTTTTTATCATTGAAACAGGCACCAAACTCTGAGTCAGAGGATGCCAGGCCCAACCCTAATGCTAGCACCAGCCAGCCCCACGGTCTGGTCTGCGGGAATCCCATGTCCTTGTTGGGAGAAGGAGAGGCTGAAATCCACGCTTCCGTGAAGCCTTCCCAAACCTGTCTCAATCCTCAAGTTGCCCACACAGCAAGTTGGTTATCAGTAAAGATATGCCCACACCCTGACGCAAACTAGAGAAGCGTGATTGATTTACCTGTCAAAACTTCCGGTGCGGGACTTGGCCTGTCCCTGTCTGACCTGAAGGGGAGGATCCATGGGAACACAGGCTGAACACAGGCGAGACAGACGGCCCTGCGGGAGAGGAGGGAAGGGCATGGGGACGGGCACAGTCCAGCCTCTGCCTCATCTGCTGCGGTTCACCCAGTCAGCCATATTTACTTTGCGTACCTGCTATGTGCAGTGGCCAAGACATGGGAAGACCAACCATAAACAAGTAAAGAAGTGAACAGAGTCATCTCAGCTGATGGCCAAGCTCTGAAGAAAATGAATTAGAGCCATGACATGCAGAGAGTTTGGGCTGAGAAGGAGGGGCCTGCCACTGTCGGGGAGATAAGAAGAGATAAGTAACACCACAACTCTCATCCAGATTTTTTTAAATGAGCCTGTATTAAAGATTGTATTAACTCATTATTAATGAGGGAACCAGGCCATGTTACAACTAGTTCAAAGGAGAAAAAGAATAGACACATTTCTAGATCAGAATGTTGAAATGAATTTGCATATAGGCACGAAACTGGCTTCTTCCACAACGGGAAAGAGAAACCAGCTGAACTGCCCCAGACACAATTTATTTGCATAAATGAGAATCATTCGCACTGCCATGGCTTCTCTACAGCTTGGAGCACTGCAGAGTAGTACAAAGGCTATGAAAAGCTGGGATCAGACAGCCGGCAGCAGACTTCTTTATGCCAGGTAATGAGAGGGGACATCTGAGCCAAGATGATATGCTAGAGAGTCCTGTGCAAAGGTCCGGGAGGAACATTCCCAGCAGAGGGGACACCAGGTGAAAGGGTGCAGTCAGGAGGGAGGGAGGGAGTGTGTGTTTAAGAAATCAAAAGAAGGTCACTGGAACTGGAGCCAGTGACAAAGAGGCTAGCGGGCATGAGGGAGGGACAGGCAGGAGCCACAGCCAGATGGCTGCTGGAGCCATGGTATAGGTGGGAATTTTGTCATAAAAATGATGAGAAGCTGTCAGGCATGGTGGCTCATGCCTGTAATCCCAGCACTTTGGGAGGCAGAGATGAGAGGATTGACTGAGCCCATAGATTCGAGACTAGCCTGGGAAATCTGGCGAGACCTTGTGTCTATAATAAATCAAAAAATTAGCTGGGCTAATTTGATGAGAAGCCCTGCGGAACTTTGGGCAGGGAAGGGACAGGATCTCCTGTTTTGTTTTGTTTTTTAATAAATTGTATTGTATTTATTTTTATTTTTTGAGTTAGGGTCTCACTCTGTTGCCCAGGCTGGATTGCAATGGCAAGATCACAACTCACTGACGCCTCGAACTCCTGGGCTCAGGTGATCCGACTGCCTCAGTCTCCTGAGTAGCTGGTACTACAGGTACGTACCACCACACCCAGCTAGGATTTCACATTTTAAAAGAAGCCTTGTGGCTGCTGAGACTGTCACTATTTAAAATGACTGCAGGCAAAAGCCTAAATTTCCCACAAAGAAGTTTTCCTTAAGGGAGCTCAGGAAGTGATCCTGGAGCCAGAAATGAGAAAGAAGGCTGACAGACGGGCATTCCCTTCGGGTCCCCTTCCACGGTGGGAGCTTTTCTGTCCTCTTAATAAATCCTGCTTTCTTAATTAAAAAAAGAAGAAGAAGAAGAAGAAGACTGACTGATGGAGAGGTGGAGGATTCAGAGCCTTGAAAAAGTTCCTGCCTTTTTTTTTGTTTGTTTTTGTTTTTGTTTTGAGTTGGAGTCTCACTCTGTCACCCAGACTGGAGTGCAGTGGCCGCTCCCGGCCACCGCAGCCCCGACCTTCTGGGCTCAGGCGATCCTTCCGCTCAGACTTCCAAGTAGCTGGAGCTACAGGCGCACGCTACCATGCCCGGCTGATTTTTTGATTTATTGTGGAGATGAGGTCTCGCCAATTTGCCCAGACGGGTCTCGAACCCGCAGGCTCAGGCAATCCACTCACCTCGGCCTCCCAAAGTGCAGAATTACAGCCTGAGTCACCGAGCCTGGCTAGTTCCTGCCTTTTGATGGGAGTGATATTGGTTCAACTACTTTTTTTTTTTTTTTTGAGTTGGAGTCT